AGAGACTTCCTCAGTTCTCGGGAGCAGCACAGGATGACATGTTGGACGTCGTAGGCCAAGAGATCGTCAACATGTTCTGGTCTTGAAGCCATAGCCTGCTGTTAATTGGTGAGTACCGTGCATGCGAAGCAGGCATTTTGCCGAAGCCATGTTCCTTTTGCCCGCAAAACGTCGTCGTTTGCAGGGCAAGCAGAGCCCGCCCGAGGGGGCAAACACCAGGGAAGCACGGACGCAGGTGCAGACCTTGGTCCGAGATGCGTGGGTGGCGAGGAGAATGGTCGAGGAAGGCTCACATGGGCACGCGCGGCGTAACATCTTGCGTGTGGAGTTTAGTAATGTGGAGCAGAGAGCTCCATTGCTAGAGGCCATGTGGGGCCGAATTCCCGTGCATCTCATGGCAGCGGCCAGGGCTGTTTTGGCCGCTTGGCGTACAGAACAGCCTATAGTGATGAACGAGCAGCCGCTGCCTTCCTATCGAGGTTCTGGCACAATGTTCAGATACAGTGGTTCCTGGTCCAAGATCCCAGATGTCAGGGCCAGCGCAATGCTGGCAGAAGGCGACGCAAGGATTGCCGATGTGTGTCGCCTCTTGCAGGACAATGCCGATGTTGCAGCCCTTTGGAGAGATTTCCAACGTTTTGCCGAGCAGCTACGGCAAAGCAGCAAGATGGATCGGTTGACTTTGGCGTGTGAGCTGCACACAGCTGTGAGTCTGGACACGCTGACGCCCAGCATCCACTTCCATCTCATGTTTGACTCCAGATGCTTGGCGCCGGCGCAGTTATTCTGAACTTTTGTCCAGATCCAAGTTCTGAATTCTTCGTCATACGTCCCCTTGTGTTTTGAAATCTTGATGGAGCGTGAAAATTTCAGCCACATGCAACAGGACTTGTCGTCAACAGTGTTCCTGGTAGGCCAGATGATCCCCCATGCCCCTTTTGCTCTTGATGTAGCAACAAGGACAGACGGTGACGCTGCCGAAGCCCAGTCTGTTGTTTCGTGGCGCCGTTCCGCATCAGTCTGTGGAGTGCAAGCAAGCCCGTGGGAAAGCTTGCCGAAAGGCCTACGACCAGGGGCACTACTACCTGCAGGTGCCAAAGACTGGCTCCATTCATATGACGACGACAGCAGCAGCCTTCACCACCTTCCCTGTTGCTCCGGATTGGATCACCAACTTATGGCAGGCCTGTAAAATCACGGAGCAGGTTGCGGAGCAGGAGTATTTGCGCTGCAAGAAACACGTGAAAGCCTACTTAGACAACATGAAGTTCCATGCCCAATGCGTGCAGACACAGGTCGTCAAAGCGAGGAAGGCGCAAGATCTCCAGGAGCTTCAGCCCCTCATGAAAAAGGCCGTCGTGATCGAGCAAGTCCAGCGTGACTTCCTTCCACAATTTACCCGACCCATGTTCAGAAGGAGCTTTTTGGTCCTAAGTGGACCCACGCGCCTTGGCAAAACAATCTTTGCCCGCAGTCTCTTCGGTCATCGCGAGACACTAGAACTCAACTGCTGTGGAGTGAGTCAACCTGATTTGCGTGCCTTTGACAATTTGCTGCATCGAGCCATCTTGTATGACGAAGCTTCGACGGCTATGGTGCTCAGCAACCGTCGCCTTTTCCAGGGATCTACAGAAGAGGTCACGCTCGCTCATTCTGGAACAAACATGTTCACCTACAGTGTGTACGTCTACAACGTCGCCATGATCCTGACATCGAACTCTTGGCTACGTGAGCTGGAGGAATTGCCGAGAGAGGAGCGCGAGTGGCTCGAAGGTAATTCAATTTGTATAAATTGCACGCAGCCGCTTTATGAGACGTAACAGCCAAGACACGAGAAAGCTCTGACCGTTCCGGAGATGTTAGAGGCTTCTGAAGCCCGCGAGCCAATCCGAAGCGCGGAGAACTGCAAGGTCCGAGCTCTCAAGGAACAGCCGGTAGCTGCGAGCCCTTCAACCCCAATCTCCAAGCCCTAACAGCGGTCAAGCTCCATGGAGCACACCTCGGAACAGCCGGTAGCCCCGAGCCCTTAAACTCGAAGCCCTAACACCGGTCAAGGTCCACGGAGTCACCTGCAGCTTGATGGACGTGGCCTCGGAAGCGTCATGTAAAGTATGACGAGTTCCGAACAACAGAGAGTGATGGTTCCAGACATTGTGTGTATATGTGGAGAGAGAGAGAGAGAGAGACAGAGAGAGAGAGAGAGAGATAGATAGATAGATAGATAGATAGATAGATAGATAAATAGTGCGCGCGTGTATGTGGGTAGGTGTGTATGTGCGTGCGTGTGTGTGTGTGTGTGTGTTTATTGGGAGTTCTCTCACAGTATTCTTTTCCGTGAAATGCTGTCAACTAGACGGGTGCATACATGTTCCGTCTGCTTTGTTTTGGTTCCCTCCAAGTCCTAAATCATGCATCGTCTTGCAGATACGCTTTTCTCTAAATGTTTGGCCGTCAAAGGCTAGAGGAGTGCATACATGTTCCGTCTGCTTTGTTTTGGTTCACTCCAAGTCCTGGATTATGCATCGTCTTGCAGATACGTACCGGAAAACATGCATCGTCTTGCAGATACGCTTTTCTCTAAATGTTCGGCCGTCAAAGGCTAGAGGAGTGCATGCATTTACCGTCCGATGGGTTTGGTTCACCCCAAGCCCTAAATTATGCATCGTCTTGCAGATACGTGCCGGAAAACATGCATCGTCTTGCAGATACGCATTTCTCTAAATGTTTGGCCGTCAAAGGCTAGAGGAGTGCATGCATTTTCCGTCCGATTTGTTTTGGTTCACTCCAAGTCCTAAAGAATGCATCGTCTTGCAGATATGGTGTCAGGTCTCGTGCTGTGTAAACGGTTTGTACATGCAGCAGATCCAAGCTTCCACGCGCCGCTGCAGGTCTGTCTAAATTCATTGTGACCGGGTGGCAGCCTGAGTTGAGACGGTCTTCAGGCACATTATCACATCTTGGACTGCAACCAGTCTTGCAGACGTGTCCTGGTGTTGGATATAGTGCTGTGTAAGCTAGGTTTCCCACCCTTCCGGGGGCCGAGGATAGTAGCCTTTGACCCCATGGGCGCATCCCTGGAGGTCGCTCTTGTGAAGATATGCTCCGTGGCAGAGGCATGTTGTGCAGCGCGAAAACAGCTGGAAAGACAGTGGTTTGGGCGTGCAAGATCTGCGCAGAGTGTTTTCTCCCTGCCGCACTGTCCATTTTTGTGGCCTGTCCGTCTTAGCAAAGGTCCAAGCAAGCCTTGCCGAGCTGGTCTTTTTCCGTAAAGAGGCCTCGCAGGTGACGTTGTTTAGCGAGGTTGTTCTGCTGCAGAGTGTCGCAGGAACAGTTGGAGGCTGATGCTGGATTCTTCTCTATGTACAGAGGCTTCTCTATGTACAGAGGCCAGGTCTGTGTCTGCTTTCCTTCTGGACCACATTGGGTGTGTCTTTCTGCGAGGCACCGCTGTTGCTGGACGCACGTTGCGGACGAGGTCCTGAGGAGCGGTAGCTTTGGAGCACAGGCCTGGTGGCTGGAGAAAGGTTCATGCGGATTCTGTGTGCTTGTGTGGGCGTGCCGGATTACAGACATGCCATGAACGCAGAAGGGCTGGACGCTCTCTACCAACTGGGTTTCTGCAGCTGTTTTGTAGCTGTGGCCAGACCTCGTTGCGTGGGGACCTGAAGGCGCGGAGCAAACCAAGTTTCTGCGGTGTGGAAGAAAGCCGATGCATGACACAAGGTGCTGGGTAATGCCTCCGAAGCAGAGCGACCAGCAGGTAGGCTTCTGTAGTTTGATCATGCTTGGTTGGAATGCCAAGCTATGCTTGTTAGGTACTGCACCAAGAGCTTCTGCGTCTGAAAGAGACGCGCAAGGCCTTGAAAGCAGAGCTGCGCGAGCAGTCGAAAGAGCATCGGAACCTGATGGCACGACGCAAGCGCCTCCTGCAGGCTCGCGTAGAGCGACGCCGTGTGATTTCGCGTTTCTGGCTTGCTGGCCAAGCCAGGCCACAAAGAACTTAAGCAACGAAGACCTCCAGCTGCTGCTACGTGCGCGAGAAGGTTTGGTCCAGACTCTTTCTATTATAGTAGACTTGTGGGTGTACTTCGGGGAGGCGTTGCTGCTGCTGCCCCCAACGGTCAACCTCTCGCTGACAACGCAGGCAGGAATGCGTGGGAACGTTGTTGTCACACACACACACAGACACACACACACACACACAGACACGCACAAATTGCCGACAGGTGGCGGTGGCGCAGGAGAGCCTGCAGGTGAGAACGCATGTCCTGTCTCATGCGTCGTTCGGTCTAGACAGTTGCGTTGGACGTGTGGTGTCTGCTGGGTCGACCAGAGTTTTGCAAATCCAGCAAAGCATGATGTGCGGTGCATGCATGCAGGAGCGGGCGCTGAGCGTTGAAGGCTCTGTGGCTGGCGTTGCTTTTCCTAGACTGTGCGTGATTGGTTCCGGTGTTGATTTGGCCTGTCTGGAGCAGCCTGGCCTGGGGGGGCCTCCCCGGTAGACGGCGGTGTCTCTGTGGATTGATGTATTGGGGGCAACCACGTGTGAGCCTGAATCTGCTGTGGCCGTGCAGCGCGAGCCATAGTCTCAGTTGGCCTGGTGACTGTTGCTTCCTGGGAACACAGCCTAGCAAGCCAAGATTCCGGGCATAGCAGTCCTGAGCAACCCATGCTTGAGTGTGTAGTAAAGTCAACTTACCTTCCATGTGTTTTGAGAAGTTGCCTTAAACCCTTTCGAAGCCATGCCTCCACCTGGCCCCGAAGAGAAGCTGAGGGAGCTGTCTCGCCAAATAAAGAACCTGGGTCAGCGCTGCAAACGGGCCGCAGCGCCTGCTCCGACGGAAGTCGAAGGCGATGCGGATGGGTTCCGGCGTTGCGCTCCAGACAGCCTCATGGCCATGCTCTTTTATGGTTTCAGCGGTCATTGCTCCAGCGCGGCAGCTGATTTTGCTTGTGGCAGAGGTTGGAGGCCTGGCGCTTCGGCCGCTGCAGCCACCGAGGAGCAAGTGGCTACGGTTGAGTGGGCTTACATTCACATGCCCCTGTCGGTTCTTGTGGATTTGGAGTTAGAGCCATTAAAAATGGTTGGGCAGCGAGATGTCTATTGCGCGGCCAAGTATTGCCTGGAGCATCGACTTGTGGCCTACGTGGAGGAACAGAACACAGTGCATGGGATTGCACCATCTCGTGCGCAGATGCTAGACGTGGCTCTGGCGAGCATTCCTGCCGCCGCGCCGTCTTGCGTGAAAGAGCGCCTGGTTTCGCTTGTGCAGGGTACACCGCGGAAGGAGCGCAAGTACCTGGCAGCCTTTCGCCGCAGGTGGAGCGCAAGATATGGGTGCTTACGCACAGAAGATGTTGTTGATGTTGCTGAGCGCCGACAGAAGGCTGGCTGGGACAGGGTCCGCTGCGCGCGCATCGTTTTAAGAATCCTGGCGTGTTGTGATATGGGCTAGCAGCAGCGCAGCGGGGGGTTGTCTGTTACAGTGTTACCCACCCTCCGCAGTGATGGTTCGGCCTGGGAGCTTCATTCTTTCAGTGTCAAGCAGAGGGGAAGATTGGGAACATAGAAATATGGGCTAGTCTGCAGCGCAGGATCTAGGCTCGCTTGGTAAGACTGGTTTGTGTTCTGCTCTGGCCGCAGGAAAGGGCAGGCTGCTTTTTAGCTTCGTCTGGCAAGCCCGAAATGTAGGTCTTCATTCTGAAGCATTCCTCACTGTTCACTGTGCAGGCTACTGTATTCCATCAGTGGATGAATCACATTTGGCGTGACGCCGCTAAGCCGGTGCTGGTGGTGAACATGGATGAGACCTCGGTGGTGCGGCATCCAACTGGGCTCTGGGGAACTGTCTTGAAGGGTCCGGCGAATAAGCCGCGGCGGGACCACGGGACTCTCTCGGACCGTCGTGGCAGCTTGTCGTTTCTGGCAAGCATCTGCCCGGACAGCGACGTGCAAGGCATACTGCCGCAGATTCTTCTGGCGAATGAGCATCAGGTCAGTCTTGCAGTTCTGCGCCGCTTGCAAGCTTCAGGTTCGCTTCCTCCCAACATGCACATCTGGCGAGAAGCATCTGGGTGGACGACGCATGCCATCATGAGGCGGTACCTCAGCTTCTTGGCGCGGTCTTTGGGCGAGGTGGTCGCCCAGCGGACGGTTGTCCTCCTTGTTGATGTTAACAGAGCACACATAGACCATTCGATACTTTTGCATGCCAGGCGACTGTCAATTCGAATGTGCTTTGTCCCGGCCAGGATGACACGATGGCTCCAGCCAGCAGACACAGCTATGTTCGCTCGTTTCAAGGCTGCGTTTCGTCGCACCTGGAGAGAGCAGAAAGCTTGCCTGCCTATGGGCGTGGTCTCCCAAGAGACATGGCTGCGCATAATTTTCGCCGCGATTGCCGCTGTCTTGCCGACGACCAATTGGTATGTCGCCTTCGACTCTCTTGGGCTGCTCGGGAACCAGAACTCCATGTCGCAGAGAGTGTGTGAGGAGCTGGGCTTGGCAATGCCACCGCAGGTCCCGCGTGGAGTTCCAAGTGCGGCGCAGGCTGCGTTGGTCTTCCCTAGTGGAATGAAAGTCGATGTGATGACTTGGGTGCATTTCGTGCCGAAGTCAGCTTTAAAAGGGTTGGCTATGCCAGCCGCGGCGCACGGCCCAGGGGCAGCAAGGCCTGCGGCGTCGGCGTCGGGTGCGTCTGGGAGTTCCGTCGCTCCGAGACGTCGTGCGCTCCCAGCTTCTGTTGAACCAGTGCGTTGGTATCGTGGACGCCCAGTCCGCGACCTGCGCTGATTTCAAAGAGCCCAGCAGCGTTTGAAAATCCTGTACTTGAGCCAGACAATTCCGTAGGCTCGACCACTTGACCGAAGCGAAATCTCATCCAGCTCGACATCTGCGCTGCACCCTCCAACCACGATAGCGTCGTGCAAGCTGCAGTCGTCTGGTGAGAGGTGGAGCTCAGAAGAGTGAGCCAAAGAGCTCCTGTAATGGCCTTGAGAGGAAGTTTCTGGCCACCAAACAAGTCCGCGTCCACGTTTGTAAGAGCTACAGTCTTCCTGCACACTTTGTAGCGCCAGTTGCAAGCACCTCCACAAGGCTCCAACTTCCACTTGGAACTTTGCAGATTTGCAGGTTCAAATGCTGCATGACACTTCATGTGGTAGAGTCTGCCGTCTTGAACGCCGCGCCCGCCAAGTCATTCTGCCAGACCGGAGAGATATTCAGCAAGCAAAAGCCGGTGCAAGAAACAGCAACTGCACTGCAACAACAATATTCAAGGGGATACCTTGATTCAAATCCAAGAACAACTCCGCGTCCACACAGGTTCGATAGTCTCGATGTCTTCCAGCCGCTGCACATGCGCCAGCCTGGCTATTTCTGTTTCCAACAACGTCTCTCGTCTCTTGCCATCGTGTGAGAAACAACAAGGGTTCTGGCACACGTCAGATGCGCATCGAGACAGTGCTCCGATCAAGACAAGATGTTAGGAAAGAAAAACAAGTCGTGCTGGCTTCGGGCTCGTTGTCGGATTTCCTCACTTCTTTCGTGCCGAGCATTCGTATTAACTGCAGCAAGAGGCTGTTGAAAAAGAGCAGCAAGTCAGAAGCAAATCGCAGCACCTCCAGGAAAATTGGACTCGAGGTGCTACACCACTGCCCTTGGACCAGATCAATGCGACTCAAAGCATCTCGGTCCTGCAATTTTGAGCATTCGGCTTTGTACTTCCTGAATCGCAGCGGTGCCTTCATTTGGCCTCTCTAGCAAGATAAAGGTGGTGTCTTTTTTCGCAAGTCAGAAACCTGAAAAAACGACGACCTCTGGCATGCATAAGATGGCCTTGCAGCCTGTGCTTGTATCTGTTGTGTGTGTGGTGTGTTTGTGTGTGTGTGTGTGTGCGTGTGTTGTGTGTGTGGTGTGTTTGTATGTTGTGTGTTGTGTGTGCATGTGTTGTGTGTGTGGTGTGTTTGTATGTTGTGTGTTCGTGTGTGCGTGCGTGCGTCCGTGCGTTGTGTGCGTGTGGTCAAAAAAAGATGTCAGTTTCTTTTGATAAAAAAGAAAAGTGGATGATTTGTTGTGTCAAGCTCAGAAGCAATCAGCAAAGTTTTGTGATGCAAACTTGAGAAGCGAAGTTTTTGGCGCAAGTTGCAACGTGACTGACTTACTTGGAAAGTTTGCTTGCCATGCCGAATTCCGAGGAATGCTCTGCAAAGTTGTGGAGTGGAAACAACCGAGCTCTTTGGTTTTTGATTTGGTTGCAGCTATTGATTCTTCCACGATGCTGCAGCCGCGGTCATGAGTGGAAGTTTTCCAACGGAAACGACAATGGAGATGGTGCTTATTGTCATCTGCATTGCACAGCGCGCTTGCAGGAAGTGTTTCGGACGTTGTACTGGTTTTTTTCGGATGCACCCCAAAAGCAGGTTCTCAAAGAAACCGGTCTTGCTGAGAAGACATGGGCCAAGATCCGCGACAAGATCCGAGATCTGCTATGGCTTGTTATTCAGCAGCAATTCAATCGGGTGCAACTTGGTGGTCCTGGCCCTGTGGTGGTCATCGATGAAACCTTTTTCACCAAGAAGAAGGTGAATGCAGGAGGTTTTGTTGGAAGGCGCACCATGGGCAACAAGACCATTGTTATGGGCTTCTTGGAGTTGGACTTGGCCACGAGAAAAGCAACAGGTGCATGTGTTTTGATTACCATTCCGAACAGGAAAATGTCAACTTTGAGGCGGGAGATTCAAACACACGTGGTACCGGGTTCCCTCATCTTCACGGACCGACACAAGTCGTACCATTTCTTGGGACGCAGAGGGAGCCAGTATGTGCACCGAGCTGTCAACCACAAGGCTGGTGAGTTCTCCCGCATGGAGCGCATATTTGGTCAGGACATCAATGTCACGACAAATGCGGTGGAAGGTCTGTTTGGACGCTTAAAGAAATACTTGCGGCAACGTGAATATGCCCGGTTTGGCAAGCGGGCCTATGGCGAAGTCCTTGCAGAGTTTCTGTGGCGGCAGAGATGTTCTGCTTTTCGCGTAGAGCCATTCTACAACTTGCTGAAAGAGATTAAAACTTCGCAAGATGCTCATCCCAGGCGGCCGCAGGCAGACAGGAGTGCAAGCAGCATCACTTTGATGTCTTCGGAAGGGCTTATTGTCGTTGAAATCTAGGAGGTCCTGTGTTAAGGCCACAGTCTTTGGGGTACAGTCGTTGCTATGGCTATAAGTAAGGTTTAAGACCAACAAATCTTGTGGCAGCACCAAGGTCGCAACTCCGTTTGTCGAAGAAGATGTACCTGAGAATATGCGGAGCGATTTTGAGTCCTTTTTGCCTTCGGATGACAGTGATGATGAGGAAGATCTGCCCGAGCCTGCCCCACCAGTCGTGCCAGAACAAAGAGAAGACGATGAACAGGAACCTGCCTTACCAGCTGTGCTAGGAGAACAGGAACACGGGGAAGAGGGTCAGATGGGCAAGGAACCATTGCATGTACAGCATCCCATGAAAAAAGAAAACCTGAAAGTCAAATTTGAGGCTGACACAGGAAGCAGCGGGAGTGATTTGGAAATTGTTTACTTAGTCGCGGAAGAGTCTCGCCCCAAGGCGCGCGCGGCCTTGGCCAGAGCAGGCCGGGAGGATCTTTAGTCGCGGAAGAGTCTCGCCCCAAGACGCGTGCGGCCTTGGCCACAGCAGGCCCGGGAGGGTCTTTAGTCGCGGAAGAGTCTCGCCCCAAGGCGCGCGCGGCCTTGGCCACAGCAGGCCCGGGAGGGTCTTTAGTCGCGGAAGAGTCTCGCCCCAAGGCGCGCGCGGCCTTGGCCAGAGCAGGCCGCGCGCGGCCTTGGCCAGAGCAGGCCGGGAGGGTCTTTAGTCGCGGAAGAGTCTCGCCCCAAGGCGCGCGCGGCCTTGGCCAGAGCAGGCCCGGGGTCTTTATAGTCGCGGAAGAGTCTCGCAGTAAACTTACTGTACTTTCCCTCTAGCAGCACAGACTCCATGAGAATCATCCTGCGCATGTTTTTGTGGTTGATCCGGATGTTGCCTTGGGCAAGTGTCCATACTTTTCCGTCTCGTGTGGCAAACACACTGCATGGATGGATTCTTTTCTGTGGGAACTTTGGAAGTGCCTGCAGAGCTTTTAGAAGAACCATCAGACTTGCTACTTTGCTTGAAGGAGTGTTAAAAACAAGCTGGTCCGACAGTTGATCAAGATGCCAGCTTGTTGATTGAGATGCCAGCTGGTGCGATGAGAAGCGGTATTTTGAGTAGGCTTTTTTATTGCTATGGCCGCAAAATGGGTTTTGAGGTTTTGTCTTTATGAGCTTCTCCCCCTTAAACGGGGGCTCGAGCGGGGGGGCTTAAAGGGGGGCTTTAAAGGGGCTTTAAGGGAAGCGACAAAAGGGGGTTTCAGCGGGCTTGAGGGGGGCTTCAAACGAGGGCTTAACGGCGGAAAGGGTGACTTGAAAGAGGGCTTTGAAACGGCTACTTGTTAAGGGAGCTTCAGCTCGAACGGTACTTTCGTTCACTTTCTCGCGATTTGTGCTTCTTCTCTTCGTCTAAGGAGGCTTGAGGGAGGGCTTAAGCCCCTTTGTCTAAGCGGGTGCCTATAGGAAGCAGTCTGAGCTGAAGCCTCAATCCTTTTCTTTTTTCCAAGGCTTGGGAGCTTCTAGCGGGTGTTGCGACTGTCATTGGCTCAAGACACGTGAACCAGCAGTTAGCTGTACGTGCAAGAAAAGAGAGAACTGTCCGAGTGCTGTGAGTATGTTTTGCCAGCGTGAAGTGCAGCAAGCTTGCTCAAAGTGCTTGGTTGCTTTTTCGTGGTCGTGGACGCCAGAATTGCGTCTGTGCATCGTGTTCTGAACGGTTTGGATTTGCTGTCCTGTGGTCAGGGGACTCTTCCTGCCTACGGCAGTTTCCCTCTTGTTGCCTTTTCCTTGGAAGAGGCACTGGCAAAAAAACAGGGGGCTCTTTCCGTGTCTTTGCGGTTTCCAGCCACTAGCAGCCTGGTTCCTTTCAGAGGGGGTTTCCGGCTGGAGGCTTACCACCCAAAACAGTGCCAGTTGCAGTCAAGTAACTGATGCGTGGCATCTACTCATATTCGTTCAACGGCGGCCAAGAAAGCAGGGTGGTTCAAACTTGCTGCGCGTGCATGCGGAGTTTTAGACATTGCAGCAATTGCGGAGGCCCCTGTTGCGCGGGTGCATCTTCTACGGGTTCTTCGGGCTCGCTAATATCACCCGCCAAACCGTCAAAAGCTGAGCGTTAATCCACCAAGACGATTTCGGCAGAGTTTTCCAACTTTTGCTCGCTGCGGAAATCATGTAAGGGCAGTGGGCGGTTCATGTAGGCACTAGCCATGACTTTGAGTGTTATTTCAGGCCCTACTTCGTGCTTTATCGAGCAATAAAAGAGGCTGAACAGCGGTAGGGCGGAGCGCGACACTGGTGGTCTGTCCATTTGTGCTCGCAAGTTGTTTCCAAAGGTTTTTCGGGCTTGTGGAAGTGCTTGCGGAAGGTTTCTTGTGGTAGGGCAATCCCCAGGAAGAAACTGTATTCACAGCAGAAGCAGAAAAATTAGGGATTCAGAACCATTTTCGGAGTTGTGTGAGTTGAAGAAATACAGGTCTTTCAAGCCCTCTTGTACAGGATCTGGACAGTCATGTTGTTGACCATGGACACATTTGGCTCAAGACACAAAAAGAGTGACTTGCACGTTGTGTCTTGCTTTACGTGTATACCACGCAAATAACTGGTTAACAGCCTCAGCTACGTGGACACTTTGGTAGGTTGATTGGTAGATCCTCTCGCCGCCATTGTGCCCCTCCATATTTCATATCTTCACTCTCCCGTCCTTGGTAGAGAGTTGCTCATTGCACTGAAACGAGCCAGAGCCAGGCTCATCACCTTTTCATACCTGTGCAGGTCACCGTTGGATTTCCACGTGACCGAAAGAGATTAGCATAACGTACCTCCATATTTGGGTTCAATTCATCAAAGCATTGCGCGAGAAGCGCAGGACACGCTTGTGGATTGAACAGCCAACAAACCATTGGAGAAGGATTGTTGTAGGTGCCATTGATTCGGGGTACCGCGTAAGCTCTTTGATCTACCAACTAACTCGGATCCACAGACTTCAACAACTGCGATACGCAGACGACGCGTTGAGCTTCGGGTTGCCTAGGTATTACCCTTGACAGGCTTTTGACGCGCCTGCTGCCGCTGCTTGCTCCGAGGTACGCTTGGTGAAACCCAGACTGCCTTTTTGACAAACGACCACCCATAACCTCTTGGCAATTGCCTAGTACGAGGGGCGGGCTTATTCGGTCGTTGCGTAGGGTTGTCTTTGTAGGGTTGTTCGGTTGAGTTCCTTAGCGGTTGACTCCCGTGCACCCCAACTGCAAACAGAACATCAGCACCGTTGGACGCTCCACGTGCTGCATCAACCATCCTGTTTCAGGGCTTTCGGGGGTCGTTGGTACGCCACACTCCTTTGCCCTGTGCGGCTCAGATCAGCCGGTTGACTGCTGAGTTTCCTTCCCATTGACCATCACCGAGACCCCAATCCCATTTCAATCGTTAATCCCGGCCTAGACTGAAGTCCAGCTCAGGCATTGCGCATTTTCCAACCTTTTTGTGCATAGGCTTGCCACCATTGCCTAGGCTTACGGGGTTTGATTCTGGGAATATTGGGTGACATTACTCGGCCTCGCCAGCCTTGTCTCGGCGCTAGATTCGCAAAGGCTTGCCACCAGTGTCTAGGCTTCAGGGAGGTTCGAGATTTGGATCAGATTCCGTTGGGTTACCTTTGCCGGCCTCGCCAGCCAAATCTCGGCTTTGTTTTGCCCCGTGGTTGCGTGGGACGATTTCGTTGCGGCGTACGGCCGGATTGATACAGCAGAAGACTTGAGTGGTCGTATTGAGAAGGCGGCGAGCAGGGGAGGCCAATGGAACATCCGACTACCGTCGTCGGAAGGCCGTGCTGTTCGTCGCTCTCAGGGCTATCATACAGATTGTTTTGACTTTGGAGAGCCCCGGTCTTGATCTACTTCGTATTAGAGAGGCCGAGTTGGAGGGTTCCCAGTCATTGTCAAGGGGGTACGTGCAAACCTACATGTTGGAACTGTTTTCTGAGCTCCGCGCCCTCTTCCCTTCTGTACCTGAGCCTGCGACTCCTCCTGCTGCGGAGAGAGGGCGAACTCGTTCGCCTGCACGTGCCGCTTCAGCAAATAGAAACCTTGATTTAGGTGTAGGTGAAACCTTGCCTAGTGGTCGACCCTGTCCTCCTCAGCCACCCGTTAAATCCCCAGGTCCATCTCGTGCCCCATCGATCCCTGGCAGAGCTGTCAAGTCAAAGGTAAGACCTCGTACGAGCCAGGACTGGGACGCAGAATACCCAACTTTAGCAGAATCGTTTCAGTTGAGTTCCCAAACACATCGGGATTTCAAACCGGGTGAGGTTTGTGATTGGACAGTAGAGCAGTGGGAAGAATACAACGCCCGGGAAGAACAACGGTCCCTACAGGCTTCTTCTTCTGCTGCTGCGTCCATTGGCCCGCGTGTTTCAGTCTCTTCGCCCTCCGTTGTTGTTGTGCCGGATGAGCCAACTTTTAATGGACCTGAGTCGGTGTTTGATGGATCTGAGACCGCGTCGTTTGATGGACCCGAGGCTGCGCCGACCGATGCACCTGTGATTACGCCGGCGTTTCTTGCGTTTGACTTTCACGGTGTGCTCGACGTTTCCTTTGCCGATGCTCGATACCTGTTGGCTGAGCTTCAGGGGAACCTCCCACCAGGCCTGTCGTTGGAGGCGATCTGCTTGACTTATTCTGGGTATGAACGCGGATTGCAAACTCAAGAGTCTTTGCGGCGTGAGCTACCCCAGCTTGAGTCTTTTATCTGCAGACGTCCATTGGGCCGCGGCGGGAAGGCAGAGGCATTGGAATGGTATAGCAGGGACAGAGGCATCCCGCGGAGTTCCATTGGTATGGTAGACGATCGTACAGACATCCTCCGCGAGGTGCGCGACCGTGGGTTTGTTGGCTTTCACTTGCCCGCTGGCCAAGATCTGTCATCGCTGCTGCCCTCCATCACTCAGTGGCTGATGGAACTGTAAAAGGTGTTTTGAGGTATTCATCACCTCCCTTATTCTTGTGTGTGCTGCGGCACTTTGCTACGTCTGCACCCAAGTTGAGGGTTAACTTCGGATTTTGTTCTTAGGACTTTGGGGTGTCCAAAGTCGCCAAATCAATAGGTTCACAACCACATGCCCGTGAACCTATTGTTTCGTGTGGTGCGGTGATCTATCGGAACTCTACGGGCTGCCAGGAAAGCCGCACAAGGACACTCACAAACCCGCTTTTCGGAAAGCCGGAGCCCCAAATCGATAGGTTCACAACCACATGCCCGTGAACCTATTGTTTCGTGTGGTGCGGTGTTCAGGGTTTCTTTGAGGTTCCCATCGTGTAAACACCATGGCGTCCTCTCCAGACAACACTTCCCCCGAACAGGGATCCGCTGACTCACTTCAGGTTTCGTCGAGCAGCGGGCATCAAGTAGCCGCGATGTCGGTTGTTCCGGTTGGTGGGGTTTCGATTGGTGACGATAGTGAATCTTCACCAAGGCCTAGGCGAGCATTGTACCCCCGGTAACACATCACGCCGAAATCGAGCTTCTTCCCCATCGACTAAAGCGAAAGCCGAAGCTTTAGCGTCGATTCCACCGCCTGCTTATGCATGTGAGGTTTCTAGACCTGTTGGGATTCCGGTTTCGTTCGCACCGGGCGATGGTCGCTCCACCCCGGATGTGCACTTACACCAGCATAACCAGCAGGTTCGACAGGAAGTGCATTTGCATGGGGTTGACCCTAAGGCCCACTCTCAGGCCATTGCCTCCGCACAGTTGGCACACATGCAGGCTCAGAGCATCCAACATCAAGCGCAAGCATTGGTTCAGGGTGTCGCGATTGAAGCACAAAGTGCAGTAAGTTCGGCACAACAGGATGCCAGACAACAGGCTTTTGAGTATAGCAATAAGCTTCGGGATGAGGCCGAACGACAGGTACTCATTATATCCCAGGAGGCTCAACAAACCATTGCCGAGCTCAGAGCCCGTAATCAGCAGCTGGAACAACAACAGAATGAGCTATTGCAAAGGCTTTCAGAGCTTCAAGCCCAAGCCAGGCCGCCACCCGCAACGGCTTCACAGGCACCACCGGTTTCAGACCATAATGGCACGGACATTGGTGAAGCTTTGAAGGCGCTGGCATCGAGTGTTGGGGAAACCATGCGAGAGCTTAAGGAGATTGTTAGTCCAAAAGCCAAGAAGAAGGCCAAACCCAAGCCGAAACAATCATCAAAGCCTCACGTGAACATGTTCACTGGTACCGTGACGGCCTCTGCACCTAACTCGTATGGGTATAGTTGTGCTCCGCGGTTGCCTGTATTCACTGGGGTTGGACTTCCTTCGCCACCATCGCCGAAGAAGGGATCATCGAAGCATCAATTGTTCTCTACGCCCAAGCCCCCTCCCGGTAGGCATCCTCCCGCGCCACCAGAAATGTTTGACATCGGTTCGGAACATGAGGAAGGGGAGGAGGAAGATGACATTGAGCATGATCCCGTAATTAATCCCGATGATGAAGATTACGAGGGTTCAACGTGCCACATCAAAGACCTTCGCGAACTGAAGCTCCCCACTCTACCAGTGTCAGCTTCTGGTTTTAGATCGTGGAAAAACGGGGTGTTAACGCAGTTCGGAAGTATAGATAAGTCGGGTGAGGCACGCATCCTGAGGTGGTTGCAGGCCGCACTCGATCCCAACATTACCGATCGGGCGATGGCTAAGATGCAGAGTGACTCAGATGGGTTGCCCCGGTTGGACGCATACCTCGCAGCTCAGGTCACTGACCCGAAACACCTCAAAGGGGAGTTCGGTGTTACAGCTCAGTCATTCGTTGAAAGGGCTCATGCGCTTGGGGCTTTACCTTCAGGGCGAGTCCTTCTTGCGATGCTGAGCAAGCGATTCCGAGTTGATAGAATCAGGGGGGCAACGGTCTCACAACAGACTTTCCTTGCGATTCAGCTCGAGGGTTTTAGCCAACAACATCTTCAGACATTCCGTGAACGCGTGGAGTTCTGTTTGAATGGCTTCAGCCCAGACGCTTGGCCTGCCGAAAATACCATGTTCTCATGGTTATACGCGAAACTGAAACATTGCCGTTTGCTTTCCAGGGCCATTGATCTTGATTCAAATCCATCGAGCAACAAGCGCACTTTCAACTGGTTGTGGACTCAACTTGTTGAGCTCCTCGACGAGCTCCGGGAAGAGGCCAACGAGGAATCAATCAGAGATGCATTGTTGCGGCCCAGGACCAAAAGCCCATCAACCCCGAAGAAAGGAGAACAGCAGAAAGCGACACCAGCCTCTCCAACGCCTGCCGCTCCTGCTCCTCCGACCGGTCCCAAAGGTACCGGAAAGGGTGGAAAAGATCGGGAGCAGAAGGGTAAGGGCGATAAGGATAAGGGTAAAGGTAAAGGTGACGCCAAAGGCGGTCCGCCGAAGAAGCCGCCCAAGAAGTCAAAGGCAACCGGTGAAGGCAAAGGTGCAAAGGCCGAGAGCAAAGCTCCGCCAAAGGAGAATCCACCCAAAGCGACATGCCTTTTCTTTCCGAAAGGAACCTGCAACCGAGGTGCAAATTGTCCATTCTCACGGTGAATGGAGCAGCTGCCACGGCAAAGAGCTCTACCGCGGCTGTCGCCCTGATGCTTCCCACTACGGCTCAGGGTATCTCGGTCGATGGACGTTCCACACCGAGTGCGACAAGCTTTTGGAAAAGATCGGGACTGAGCTACTTGTTCCGCGCCGTTGTCGGTTGGCTCTCTGTCTGTAGCCATGCCGTACCAGCTGTCCTGCCAAAGGTTACAGAGATAGCATTGCCAGGATACCAGACAGGTCCTTATCAGCTCGAGTGGATCGCTGATTCGGGAGCCGGTCGCAACTTGACGGCTCTCAAGGCGCTTCAGCGCCAAGGAATCCCACCTGATATAGGCTTGCAAGCCTTTCAGGCCGAACAGCCGATTCACTTCTCCACCGGTAATGGCGTTGTCACTTCGCACGAAGTCTTGACCTGTGAGGGCCAAGACTTTGGCCAGAACACGGCATACCTCATGAACGATTGTCCCGTCGTAAGGTCGATGGGTGAGATAGTAAACGGTGGCCAGTTGCCTTTCCTTTGGCTTCCTGGTCAATTGCCCTGCTTTCTCAAATCCAGCAACCACGTGCAAGCAGACCTTAGTGGGGCCCTGTTCGCCGATCGTGTTGAGGGAAATGTGCCTATTTTCAAAGAACAAGTGTCTTTCGCTGTTGCCGCGCACGCCACAAACGACAGGTCCCCGTCACCATCGTCCCCGTTGCTACCTCCTGGTGAGAGCTCCGCCGAGCCTCCCAGTCGAGTCCTTGATGAAGGATCTGCGCGCGCCGAGCCTTCAAAAGATGACGCAGCACAAGGAGACTCTGATGACGGAGAAGAACCCCTCTCCAAAGACTACGCCTCGTGCGTGAGGCTGCATCCTTGGGTCATCGCCTGTGCCACTTCCCCAAGAACCCAGCTTGTCACATCTGTTCACAATCCCGAATGTACCGCAAAAAGGTCGAGAAACTTAGGCGTGACCCTTTGGTTGACCGCGGGGCTCTTCCTGAAGTAGAAGAGTTTGGGGAGCGTGTAGCCGCGGATGTGATAATCGTCGTCAAAACTAAGCCGAAGCCAAAGGACGGCAGTGAAGCTGGAGGTCACTCCACAGTTGCTGCGGAATCCACGGTGCTTTTGGTAAGGGACGAGTTTTCTGGTTACTTACGAGCTTTCCCTCTCACTCAACGGAACACGGAAAACGTAGTGAAGGGCTTGCTACAGTTCATTGGCCGGCACGTGAAGAAGCCGATGATCATGTTCAAGAGTGACAATGCACGAGAACTCGAAGCCGCCTGCCAACAGTTAGGCTGGGTGAGTGAACCCACCCTCGCAAACCGCTGGCCGCATAACAGTGTTCTAGAAAGGGATATTAGGACCTTACAGGAAGTAGCGCGTGCTGTTTACTTGCAGTCTGGTTTCCAAATCAGACCCGGTCTGTGGCCTCACAGTTGCGTCTACGCCGCTTTCGTGCTCAACCTGAAGCACAAGCTCAAAGACGCCGAACACACTCGTTACGTCGCTGCTGTTGGTTCTGAGTTTCCTGGTCGCCGCCTGTTGCTTGGCCAACTTGTCTTCTATCGGACTGACCCATCTCACAGAGGGAAGTTCGATCCTTCTGCTGCTCCCGGCTTGTTTGCCGGCTGGCGCCTTGACAGTGGACCAGAGTCTTACAAGGGTGTTTACCTCGTCTTAGACTACAAGCGTGTCAAAGACGACTTAGCAGGTGCATCCCTTCCAATCTCTGTCCCACTAGAAGAACTCCACGTTCCTGAGGGCGAGCCTGTGCTCCCAATGCGGGCCGCCTTTGAAAAGGCGTTAGAAGGGTTTGCAGAACCTAAGTTTGAAGACGTTGCTGGTCTAGAGATACCGTTTTCGCCTTTAGCTGTAGATGCTAAACCCTCTACAAGACACGAGTATATCACCCTTGACAGAATCATCAAATACGGCCCCACACCTGGATGCAGGGCTTGTAGCTTCGATTCTAAAGTTCACAGTCCCATTTGCAAAGTTCGTTTCGACGGATTAGTGCGCGCGGACAAGGTTGCAAATGCTCGTGTAAAGGACAAAGTCCCTGTAGAGAGAGAGGCTGAGAAGGCACCAGAGCCAGAGCTTGCCTACGAAGACGTTCTCGAGAGGATTGAAGACAAGCTGCTCGACGGCCTTCCCCCTGCTGAGCCGCGTGCGGTGTCGCATGCACCTGACGCAAACGACCATCTCTCTGACTACGAACCATCTGACGATGGCGGTTCCGCACCAGTTGTCGGAGCGACAGCGCAGACTGCCTCCGAGCCTGCACCTGGCCACCTTACCACTGTCCGCACAGTGCCAGACCAAAGTTTCCTGGAACGTGACCACTCACTTCGCCGCTCCTGCAGGTTTGAGGCTTTGCCCGGAAAGAACCAACTCGTTGAGTGCTGCTGTGAAGACGACAGCGAAATCGGCCTTGCAGCAGCAAGCCACCGTGTAAACTGCTTGAGGCTCACAACGTCCACGCTCGACCTTGCTGAGCCAACCCACGTTGAGCAAGTTATTGGCCAGCTCAAGCCTGGAGCTTGCGGTCATTTCAGCTTGCCTTCTGCGGACTTTTGTCCTTCGCAGCGTATGAACAAACACCGCCACGGTGCAGCGTACACTGCCAGACTTAAGAAGCGACAGCAGCATACACGTGTCATGCCCAGTCTTGCTCTCCAAGTAGCATCCCATATGATTGAGCAGGGGGGTCATGTAAGCTTTCAGTGGCCTGCGACCAACCAGCTTTGGCAAGAACCGTCGTGGCTAGAGTTTGAAGAGAAGTTCAACTTAAGAAAGGTGTACTTTCACAGTTGCTCTTTCGGCGTAAAAGGAAAAGAGAACCCCGTCAAGGAACACTGGGCTATCTCCACTACGTCACTAAGAGTGCTACAGTTGTATGGCCAACACCAAAGCTCAGGAGACCACGAGCACGAAACTGCTGACTGCTCTGTCACCTTGAGTACCGGCCTTAACAACTCACACTGTGCCAATCTTTTGATTGAAGCTCTCTACCCACAGCTGTTCTACAGCAGTATCCCAGCAATGTGTGCAACGAACGCGCTTGTCACGAAGAACCTGAGCAGAAGCGAATGGCTCAAAGACGTACAAGGCGTTAACTCGGTACAAAAAGAAGCCGAGGGCCTCCGCAGCAACCAGACCTGGGATGACGACTCTGTTCGGCCTTTATGGCAGCTCAAGAAGGAATCCAAAGAATCTGGTCAGAAAATAAAAGTCGCGGAGCTGCTCACATTGTGCGGAATCAAACACTTTGAGCTCGGACCACAACACCACCGCTACAAAGGACGGATCGTCTACAGAGGCGATTACGTCACCGACGCCAGTGGGAACCAGGTTTACTTTGAAGACACCGCAACGACGCCCACCGGCTTGGTCGGTTTGGGAGTCACCCTGTGGTACGGCCTCAGACCTGGAAACTCAACCTCGTGCTCAGACTGTGTGCAAGCCTACCTCCAGGCCTCCATAGGCGATGGCAACTGGGTGATCATCCCACCCAAGCTTTGGCTGCCTTCGTGGCACCAGAGGTTCCCTGCAGGGACCAAGCTCGTAGTTCAGCTGCAGAAATCGTTATACGGGCACCCAGAGTCCGGACGAAGATGGCAGCTGTTCCTAGAGAGACACCTGCGTGAACTCGGAGGCGTAGAATGCCCCGAGTACCGTCCAACTGGATCGTCCGTCGGAACGGAAAGACCTTAATACTCAATGTCTACGTAAACGACTTGACTCTGAGCGGACCCGCTGAACTTCACCAGCAGTTCTGGCACGAGCTAAGGTCTAGGGTAAAACTCGACCCAGAAGTCTACATAGAATCGGGTGATAAGGGTTGTCGTATCTTAGGTAGACACCACAGCTTTCTGCGTGAAACGCCGCAAGGCACGAGTCCATCGACCTGTGAGTTTGACATGCGCTCGTACGCAGCACAGCTTGTCGACTTCTACTGCGAGGTCGCCGGCGTCACCAAAGACAAGCTACGCAACTTTCCGTCCCCTTGTTATCCGGAGAACCAGCTCACCGATGCTGATCTTGAGACAGAAGGTGAATTGCATCATGCTGCGTCGCGCATTCTTATGCGAGGCCTGTGGCTAAGTCGCCTTGCTCGGCCTGACCTGTCTTTTTCAATCACCCGATTAGCATCGAGGGTAACAAAATGGACCAAATTTGAAGATCGCCAGTTGATGCGTTGCATTTCATATCTCCATCACACGACACACCTCACGTTGCGCGGGGCAGTCTCGCAAACGGACCTCTCTTGCAACATCGAAGTGTTTACCGATGCAGATTTTGCATCTTGCCCGTACAGTGCCAAAAGCACGTCCGGCATCATCATAATGCTGCGCACCGGTGAATCTTACTTTCCTGTCCACTGGTTGTCTAGGAAACAATCATCAACGGCCAGAAGCACCACGGAAGCCGAGATGATCGCGCTTGCTGCAGCGATGCTCTCCGAGGCCGAGAACCTGCAAACCTTCCTCGAGTCTTTGCTTGACGCTGCAGTTTCGGTGTCCTACCAACAAGATAACGAAACGGTGCTCGCGATCCTCAAGGCAGGGTATAGCGCAAAACTTCGACACATGAGCCGGGCTCATCGTGTTAACGTCGCCTCCGTGTGCGAAAGGCTTGCAGAAGAACGCGTCCAAGCTGTTTACTGCAGCACCAAACTTCAGAAGGCTAACGGGTTTACGAAGGTCATATCGCCTCAAGAATGGCCTCTTGTTCTGAGTCAGCTGTGCCTCTTGCCTGCCACTGACAAGGCATTAGCAACTTCAGCCCAAGATTTTTCAGCTGATGTTTTACATGTTCAGTGCGTCAGCGAATGGTGGCAGCTTTTTGTGGGCCTAGCCCATGTCAAGGGAGGCTCTCGCCTCGGGGTCGTTAGGAGGCCTCGTCTTGAGCGCGATTGTGCAAAGCCTCGGTCAGCCCTCTCCTGTTGTTGTGTCGGGCCCTGCACTAAACCCCTCTTCTCTTGAGCCATTGTGTGCGCTCGGTGAACTGCCCGACGATTGGGCAGATCTTCTTTCCCACAGGCAGTTCTGGATTGGGCTTCTCTGCGGGATTGCCATTGGGCCTCTGGTTGATCTACTCTATTGTGCTCGGCTGTGGTGGCGTCAAACAACTGCTCGCTGGATCTCTTTGGGCCCTAGGTCGAGTGGAAACTTTCCGCTTTACCGGGTGCATGAGCCGCGGCACTAAGGAGCTGGAGTTCGAGGTCCAGGCTCTGAAATTGGAGCTGCAAGTGCTCCGCTTGCGTCTCGACAGGCAGGAGTCCGAGATTGCTGAGCTCAAGGCAGCTCAGGGATCTGAGCCGGGGTTTGAGATTGTCCGGGAGCCGTCCAGCGAAGGGGCTGAGAGGGCCTTGCGCAGCTCCAGTGGAGCGGCTGCTTCTTCGGAGTCTGCCTGTGTGCGTGGGGCTAGCTCTGATTGGACTTTCAGGCTTGAGGTCGCCAAGGAGATCGGCCGCTTCTTGAAAGCAGGTTTCAAACGCGAGCCTTGGTCTGGCACAAGTGGCCGGTCGAAGGTGAATCTCAAGAGTACTATCTACGTCCTTGTGAGGGACAAGGGGGGCCAGACCTTCACTAATCCGGTTCGGGCCTTCCGCTCCTGGCGTGGCATCAAGGAGTTTGTGGAGACCAAGGGTGACTTGTTTGATTCCCTTTTCGTCGGCTTCCCATCCCAGCGGGAGGCGACTGTGGCTGTGGCCGAGGCTGGCTTTCAGTGGCCTCTTGAGGTCGAGCCATGAGTGGTGAAGCCAGCGATGAAGAAGAAGAGGAGGCGGGAGTGCGATCGCACCTCCTCTTTCAATCAGGTCGCACAAATTTGATTGTCGTGTGGGAGCCCTGCCTTGTATTTTGGCCATTGCAGAATTGGGGGGCAGGCTGATCGTAGCTCTGCCTCACGAGGTATGGCACCGGCTCACCTCAAAGCGCAAGGTCAGCCCGACTACTTTGGGCAAAGCGATTCTGGTGTCAGTTGTCGGCGCCTACCCCGAGGAGAAAGAGACGCCTGTGCAGGAGGTCACCATAAAACTCTGGGTCGGGGTCTTGGCCATGGAGCTGGAGGCCCTCATCACCTTCGAGCGGCCCCCGGCCGAAATCACTTACCATTTCTCGACCAACGTGCTGCCCTATGCCCAAGCCTTAGTCTCCGTTGCGGACGAGCACTTTGCCTTCACGACGGCGGAGAGCGGGGGCGGCGGAGACGGTATCTTCAAGCGCATGGCTGCCGTCGAGTCTGGGTTAGCAGAAATCAAGCTGCTCATTCAGAACATGGGCAACAAGGAGCCGGCCGGGAAGGCGGGCGAAGGAGTCGACAAGACTCGAGGTGCCAAGTCGAAGGTCGCCGCAGCCCCTCGGAAGGTGGCGCTGGGCGGCCTGGATGCATCGACCGTAGCGGCGGCCCGAGCTGCAGGGATCGAGGACAGCGCCTTGCAGGAGATGGGAAAGCTTCTGGCAGCCAAGAAGCTCAAAAAGCCGGAAGAGGGCGCCGAGAACTTTGTGACGGCCATGGCGGCCGGGGCTCTGGACGAGGGCGAGTTCGCCGAGGACCTCCAGGAGCTCAACGACGAGGACCCGTTCGCCGCTGGCGCCCAGGACGGCAGCCAGATGGAGGCCGCTTTGCTTCAGCTCACAAAGATTGTGAGCACTTTGGCTGTGCCAGCTCGCGGCAGCAAACCCGACTTAGACAGTGTTCTGGATGCAGGGGTGAGCGGGAGCAGCAGCGACCAGCAGGGACTAGGGCAAGGACGGAAAAGCGCGGCCGCATTGAGGTTACTCACCAAGACCTACGAGGAGAATCCCAAGGTGATCTACGAAACTTTGGAGCGGCAGATGCGGCTGGACTTCCAAGTCGCTCCCCCAAAGCCTGGTGTTCCAGATGTCGGAGGAGGTGCTGGTACCGCAAGGGGCTGGCTTGCTTCGAAGAGCCGCATTGGAAATTATCACAATCACATTCGGTGGGCCTGGGGCATGGCAGGAGTGTGGGACGATCTGATGCAGAACAATGTGGAGCGAGCCCGCGCTCGGGCAGGCTTGATGGTGGCCTGTGCCGACCAGGCCTCGATCGATTCAGGATCGTGGGTGATGAGCACCGTTGCCCTGCTGGAGCCATTGCCGCCGTATCAAGAATTCGCTCGTCATTCAGGGCCTCAACCGGCGGAGTCGCAGACGACGGCCTTGTTCGATCCAAGGTGGAGCGAGATATTCCTCCAAGTGCTTCGGGACCGCGAGGCATTCAACGAGGCCAAGCTAAAACTGTCTCAGGGGAACAAACGGGACCCTGGGGGCACTCAGCGCGGCGACAAGGAGTCCACCGAGGAGCCGGGACGGGGTCGCGGACGCGGCCGAGGCAGAGGACGAGGCCGAGACGGCAGTGGCGCCCAAGGGGGTGCCGAACAGCAGTGAGTGCGAGTGACTTTGAGGACAGCCGCGCGGGGCCTTTTGAATGCCGGCCGCCCTCTTCTTTTGCAGCCCCTTCTACAAGCACTGTATGTGGCACGAGAGCTGGAACTACTTCTGAAAGCCCGGGCTTCTCCTCAGGCCGACCTGGGAAAGATCCGGAACGACAGCAGCAGACGCAGCACGTGCCGGGATCCAGAGCTGAATGTGTTGATACTTTGAAGGTTTTTCGCCAACTTGGGGCCCTCTTGTTCGAGGACCCCGGGGCCCTTGGCTCTTTCTCCAGAAGCTGCTTTAGGACTGCCCAGCCTCGTCGTGACCGGGGCGATTCTTCGAGCGGTCTGAGTGGCCGAGTGTGGCCCATCCCCGTGCCCTACGGCAACTTGATGTCCCAGCCGGCGGTCGATCTGGAAGGCGACTTGCTTAAGAAGTATGTTGTTAACCTGATTGTCATCGTTCTTGACTTTATCGATCTGGGCTTACCCTCCCGAGCTCCTGATGCTTGTCTTCCTGGAGGGTGGCTCCGACCCAGCCAAACCGAGCAGGTTCTTAGGATCGAGAAGTACTTGGACGCTTGGCTAGGCCTTGGGATCTTGGGGCCCGAGGACATGGGGAGGACTGCTGGCAAAGTTGAGGACCTGGAAGCCGCTTTGAGTGAGTTGCAAAACTTCGTGTCGGCAGGCAAAGAGCATCAGCCTAGTGAGAGCAGCCCCGACATTGGCAAGCTCCGTCGTGCCTATGCGGGCACGTACAAAGAGATTGAAGCCAGCAGGCTTCAGTTTCGCGGGCGACCTGACTTCGATCCTAGGCCGTTTCTCGATTCTCTCAGTCGCAAGATCTATGATTGCCCCTTTGAGACCTCGATTGCTCCCGAAGAGTTCGAAGGCAGGATTCCCCGAGTGCGCATCCACTGCTCCCGAGAACAAAAACTTCAGCTGTTCACTTTGCTTGACAAAAGTGGCCGCATACGTCTCTTTCGAAAGCAAGATGTAAGGTCCCAGTATGGTGCAGGAGTGTTCGCGGTCCTCAAGTCGTTGGAGCTCGATCGTTTAATTATGGATTCCCGACCTCATAATTTGCTTGAGCGCCCTCCTGGCCGTTATATCATGACACTCGGCTCTGGGGAGCTCTTCACGAAGCTCATTCTTGAAGCGGGTGAGATCGTGCTCATATCAACGAACGATATTAGGGACTTCTATCATCTCTTCCGTGTCAGCGATCAACGAGCTCAACGAAACAGCCTGATAGGAAGTGTCCATCCCAAAGAAGTTCGACATTTGACCTGTTTCCAGGACTGGATGAATGGCGAGACCGAGCTCATTGTGTCGTTGGCATGCCTCGCCATGGGCGACACGCAGGCGGTGGAACTTGCACAAACCTGCCATTTGGGGCTGTGCTTGCAGCAAGAGATAGTTGATGAGGACAGCCTCCTTGCAATGTCCCTGCCCGTTCCTAGGAGTGACACCATGTGTGGGATTGTTATCGACGATTTCGTGTCGCTCAGCAAAGTTCGGGAAGCTCGTCAACCAATCGTTCCAGTTGCTAGTCGAGGAGCTGAGCTCGCAGACCAAGCCCAAAAAGCTTACCAGCAAGTGCACTTGATTCCTCATGAAGCCAAGGCGGTGAGGGATGCTCCTCGTGCCGAGTTTTGGGGCGTCGATCTGGATGGTCGAGTTGGGCTTGTACGAGGATCGCTCAGACGGGCAGCACCTTTACTCAAGATCATCGTGCAGGTTTTGCGTTTGGGGGTGGTGAGCATAGGTTTGCTTGAAGTGCTCGCCGGTGGCCTCATTTCATTGTTCACTTTCAGGCGCAGGCTCATGAGCCTCCTGGAGGAAATCTTCGAAGTGATGAAAGGCCGCGTGCAGGGCACCGTTATAGCTATTGGGGAAAAGCTTCGTCGAGAATTATTGTTGATAGCTGTGTTGCTCCCCACTGCCGTGTCGGACATGCGTGCCGAAGTGAACCCCGAGGTGTTCGCAGTGGATGCCTCGATGTGGGGTGAGGCGGTGTGCTCTACCAGGACCAGCAAAGCTTTCGTGAAGGAGCTGACTCGCCACACGTTAACCAAAGGCGTCTGGACCCGTTTGCTATCGCCGCTGAAGGCGAGATCGCGAGCTCTTGGAGTCCTGGCACCTGAAGAAGAAGTTCCCGGTGGAGCTAAGGATTGCTTTCGAGCCCATCCGCTGCACACTGTACTTGCTCGTACCAGACCGTACAAATTGTGCTGGAAGCGGAAGAGCTTGAAGCGAAGACACATCAACATAGGAGAACTCAGGTCGTTCATCAAGGCTGAGCGCTTGGGCAAGCTGCCCGGCAAGGCCACCAGAATGGTCGTTGGCGGCGACTCTCAAGTCGCGCTTGGCTGTTTGCTCAAAGGACGGTCGGCGAGTCCCTCGTTGAACCACGAGCTCAGGAGTTCGTTGCCAGACTACATTGGAGGCGGTTTGCACAGCATGCAGATGTACTATGCCACTTCAATCAACCCGTCGGACGCTCCCACTAGAGGAAAACCCATACCCTCGCCACAGGAGCCATCGCCAGAGTGGTGGGAGCACGCCCTTCAGGGCGAGTTTGACGAGTTCGACCGGTGGCTGGAGCATCAACGTGCAGATCCTTTCTGTGTGTCAGGGCTGCCTTCTTTTGCTGAGCTTAGGAAGGCAGGGGAAGCTGAGATTGTGTCGCAAGTGCGGCACGGTCACCTCAGAGCTCGCCGAAATCTGCGCGAGCTTCTCAATGCGGCTCTTCCTTTTCCATTGGAGCCACTGGGCCATGAGTGGTCCGACCAACTTTGCCATTCCACTGAACGGCACACCCCCAAGGATGCAGTTGTGCCCCCTTTCAGTTCATGTGGGACCTTCTTTTTCCCGAAAGGTTTGGAGCGATCAGTTTGTGCTGCAAGAAGTGGATACTTGGATTTGTTTTCAGGCTGTGCTGGAGTTGCTCGGGAACTCGCTCGACTCACAGGGCGATGGGTTCTGTGCTACGACGTCAAGTTCTCGCCCGAGCAGGACCTCAGCTTAGCCGGTGTTCAGAGTGAAGTTCTGCGTCTCATCACTTCAGGTTGGATCATTGGCTGTGGAGCGGCGCCGGTGTGCTCCTCTTTGTCGCGAGCTGTGGCACCGTGCTGTCGGACGACTAGCCATCCTGAAGGACTGCCTGGGTTAAGCGCTTCACAGTCTGCCAAAGTCCGACTAGGGAACACATTGGCGAATTTCGTGGCCCAAGTCTGTTCACGGTGCCTGACGCATCATGTTCCATTTTGGGTGGAGAATCCTCAGTGCTCTTTTCTCTGGCAGCTCCCGTCTTTTGTGGAGCTACAACGAGATCACCGCCTAGGCAAGTGGACTGTTGATTTTTGCGCTTTTCGAGCTCCCTGGCGAAAGCGTACAGTTGTGCTCACAACTACGAGTCTCCGAGATCAAGTTACTCGGTGTCCTGGGTGTCCGCGGCATCAACAGCTCAGGGGGCGCTCTCCGTACCATCGCATGTCATGGACCCGAGTTGCTGAGCCTTACCCGCGAGGTGTTTCGCTGGTCCTTGCTATGGCGATGGCCGGAGCGACCGGCGATAGGCCAGCATTTCGGAGGCTGGATGCATCTGCGTGTGCTCGGGCGCTCGGCCGTCGCATAGGAGAAGCCCTTCATCCAGGGCCTCGTCGGACCACTGCGGCAAGCCGCGCCGCTCACCGACAAGGTTTGGAACTTCGGTCTGTGGCGCTCGTGGACGCTCGCACTGAGAACTTGGAGCGCCGACTTTGGGATGAATTTCGGGATTGGGTCGTTTTGGATTTAGACGCTGCGGTTGCAGACGAAATTCTTCTGGTTGCGGCGACGGTCGCTACGCTTCTGGCTGCTTACGGCGAGCACCTTTTCTATATCGGAGCTCCGCTGTCTTCTTTCAGGCATCTTTTGGCGTGGGCCCAGCGGCACTTCAATGATTTCCGCATGCATGCTAGAGAGTGCTGGGCCTTAGTGTCACGTTGGGAACAAGTTGAACCGCTCATTCATCGTGAACCACTACCATGTCGACTGTGTGAAGCGATGGCTAGTCTAGCGATCACTTGGCAGTGGCCGCGATTCGCGCTCATACTGCTGCTGGGGTTCCAAGGGATCCTACGCATTGGTGAAGTCTTGCGAGCTCTGCGCGCAGACCTCGTGCTGCCAGATGATATCGGTTCCGATTTGACTGATCGGCTTTTTATTCGGATCCGGATGCCCAAGACTGGCCGCCGCGGAGGTGGCAGACAGCAGCACAGCACCGTTCAAAACGCAGTGCTTGTTCAGGCTTGTGTGCGAGTGTTTGGGCGGCTTCCGCCTGATGCTCCGCTTTACCCTCTGTCAGCGCAAAGTTTCAGGCGTCGCTGGGACGATTTACTTGCGGCTCTTCATGTTTCTTCGGATTTGAACCTTACGCCTGCTTCTGTTCGTGGCGGAGGCGCTGTTCACAGTTATCGACAAGGCATGCCGATCCTGGATCTGCTTTGGCGCATGCGTCTGCAGCATGTGCAAACTCTTCAGCATTATCTGCAAGAGCTGGCGGCCGAAACAGTGCTTGGCCGCCTGTCGGCGCCTGCCCGCCGCTCTGTGGATGCTGCCGCTCGTCTCCTTCCTTTTCTTTTATCTTCTCTCGCTGCCGAGGACCCTTGACTGGGCTACGGAGTTAAGCTCCTTCTCGTACCTCGAAGCGGCCCTGGGAAGTGGTGGAGCAGCTCTTCTTCTTCGAGTACCACTTCGTCCTCCTCGTCTACGGCAAGCTGGTGGTTTCTTCTGGGCTGACTGCGACTTCTTCGCTTACGGTTCAGCTTAGCTTCTCTCCGCTGGGTGCTCTGTCGTTTTTGAGGCGAAAGTGCCGAAGACCGCTGAACAGTCAGCCTACCGAAACTTCCAAAGGGCAGCGCAGCGAAAAGGAGAGCTGCGGTGCGGACGCTGCCATGAGCCAGTACTTAACATGTTTTACATGTTCAGTGCGTCAGCGAATGGTGGCAGCTTTTTGTGGCCCGCCCTCCCGCCCGTGGAGCAGCTCTTCTTCTTCGAGTACCACTTCGTCCTCCTCGTCTACGGCAAGCTGGTGGTTTCTTCTGGGCTGACTGCGACTTCTTCGCTTACGGTTCAGCTTAGCTTCTCTCCGCTGGGTGCTCTGTCGGTTTTGAGGCGAAAGTGCCGAAGACCGCTGAACAGTCAGCCTACCGAAACTTCCAAAGGGCAGCGCAGCGAAAAGGAGAGCTGCGGTGCGGACGCTGCCATGAGCCAGTACTTAACATGCCCTTGTGTTAGCAGATCCTCGCGCGGCCGCAGGCTTAGTTCCTCGCCGCGTCGAAGAGCAGCACATTCTGCATTTGCTGACGCTCCTTCCTCACGACGGAGCGCGCAGAGGTCCAGAGACTATTGAAACGCACTGCTTCTCAGTTGGCGCTTATGCGCATGGCAGCGGCATAGTCGGAATCAGAAGTAACACCCGTCTCTTCCCTGAAGTAGTTCGTGTCTTCACCAGGTTTGTTAGGCAACAGCGTAGGAACCACACGTTCACGGCAGTAGCTTTGTTCCGCGGTCAACAGACCGAGCTTCACAGCGACAAGTGGAACGAGCCGGACTCGTACAACCTCGTACTTCCAATCACGCAGATTGTCAGCGGCGGAGGAATATGGATCGAAGATCCTGCTGGCGAGGCCCAGTGTCCCCAGTACAACTGCAACCTTCTCGGTCGCGTCCTCCACCTCCCAGCCTTGTTCAAGCCCTCACGCAAACACTGCACTGTCCCCTGGCAGGGATCCCTAGCGCAAAGGGTCGTGCTCGTTGCTTACACTCCTCGCGGATGGAGCAACTTGCCTTTCCCAGACCAACAGTTGCTAAGAGATGCGGGTTTCCACATGCCCCACCTGTAAGCAGTGCCACTTGCGGTTGCACTCCTCCCACACGTGGTGAGTCGAGGCTTTGAGTAGGGCTCGTAGGTTCCCTGAACTGTCCTGACACGCTGTTGCTTCTGACACTTACCCTCAAACGTTGATGCAACATAGACTTCCAGAAGGGGGGAGTTGAAGAAATACAGGTCTTTCAAGCCCTCTTGTACAGTATCTGGACAGTCATGTTGTTGACCATGGACACATTTGGCTCAAGACACAAAAAGAGTGACTTGCACGTTGTGTTTTGCTTTACGTGTATACCACGCAAATAACTGTGTGCAATCCACCTATAGCTTGCAAGCAAAGAGTACTTCTGGGGATCCGCGCTGTGCTGAATTCCCCAATAGCTTGCCCGCAAAAAATGAAATGCAAATTGGCAAAACACCAATAGCTTGCCAGAAAACCCAAAATAGATTGCAAAAATCTGGATCGGGGGGTGCGTGGATTTAGGGGCTCACAACTCTCCAAATCTTGAAGGTTTGCTATGGTTGTAGTAAGATTCGAACCCCTAAATCCACTCACCCCCGATCCAGATTTTGGCAATCTATTTTGCGTTTTTTGGCAAGCTATTGGTGAATTGCAATTTTCAATCTTTTTGCTTCCGGCAAGCTATTCGGGAATTCGAGCGTGCAAGGTCTTTTCTGCCAGCAAGATATTGGGGAATTGCATTGCGCGTGATCTTGTTTTGCGGCAAGCTATTGGGGAAATAATGTTTGGAGGGTCCTGTTGTTGCTACAAGCTATTGGGAAACTCATGGAAGGTCTGGTATTGGGGAGTTCCGCTTTAGAAGGTCTTATTTTGCCAACAAAGTGCAACGGAATCCGGGTGACAGGGCCCAATTATGGAAGTTGTACCCACACTCCTGTACGTGCCCTCCCAGCGATGGCGCCAAATCGTAAACATCATCATGAAGCCCCTAGTGACTCTAGTCTTGTTAGCAAGCTAGGTGAAAATTGACATACAAACACAAAATATTGTTGATGATGTGTTTGCTTGCGGCAACACACAACCCAAGAGACTTGAACAAGAGTGGAGGAGCTTCCATGACGAAACACGAATCCTCCACTTGTGCTTATTGCGTCTACTATGCTCTTAGGCGCGAAGGTAGCAAGCTTGCTGTTGATTGCTCACGATGCACGAGTCCCCCGTTCCCCGTGCAGGCAATGTCAGAAGAACGACTTGCCTGCCGTGCTGGCTCCAAAGAATTGCGGAACAACGTTGCCTGCAGGGGGAAAGGGGAGAACGGTTGCTGAGTCTGCTAAAGAGAAACAGGAGAACGATTGTTGGGTCTATTGGGTTAAGCATTTGTCACGAAGTTGAGGCCTGCTGGCGAATGTTTGCGACGAGCTATAAGGCAAAGTGCTGCGTGCTTCCTCTTGGCCAAATCACCAAGTCTGTGATGTTGCGGCAGTGTCCGTGGGCAACTTCAGCATTCTGCCACATCCCGGTTTGCGAGCTCCGAAACAGGGGCTGGAAAGATGAAAAGAAAATGGCTTCAACGCACAGGCCCTCAAGTGATCCACCGCACAGTCCAGCAATGGCTCGCCTTCGCCGCGCCTGGCAACGCGCACTGGCACTTGCTCACGCGACAGACGCGTCGGTGCTTAGCCCCGCCCCGGCTCCGGCAGCCGCGCCGCCTCAGACTAACTCCTGGGCCGAGCACGCCCCGCCCCGCCTCGACGCCGCAGTCATCGCACAGCTTGTGACGGACTTCAAGATCAACTACCCGGGCGAGCACCTAGACAATGACGCCATGCCCAGTGTCAGGTAGCTCAGCATTGTCCACAAATGGTTTGCGCCGCAAGGCAGCATCGCATGGGTGCCTTGGCAACTTAGACTGTCGCACAAGCAATATCAAGATATTGTGGAGTCTAAGTCCTCTAAGATGCTCCGCGCAGAAGCACAGTTTTTAAGCACCGCACTGTTTGACGAAACGCAAGAGATGCCTGTGGAGCATCTTCGCCTGAGCACAGCATGGCTCGGCCGCATCCAGACGGTCTTTCGCAATGCAATTGCACTTTGCAAGGGCGCGCATTCGATAAGAAGATCTTGGACGCAGCAACGCAAAGCCCGGCGGACCCGGCATTGCGCACAGTACAGTGACCACAACAGAACTGGTCGCCGCCGATCGAGCCTGGCTTTATGTGGATGATCTTCTTTTACTGCTCAAGCACTGCCAGTTGGACACTGGCGCAGCACTCCTAGTTGCACTGCTGGCGGCCTTGAAGGCTGGAAGAAAGCACAGTTCGCCCAGACCGCTACCTGGTGCGGCTGGAAATTTTGCTTCCGCACCGAAACGGTAGAGCTTGTGCACGGAAAACTTCTCAAGCTCCGCACGCAGCTGCAGGAGCTGCACAGCACAGCAAAGGTCCCCCGCAAAGCGCTGGAAGCCTGCTTAGGCCTGCTGAATTGGGCGACCTCGCTCAGCAAACACCTTCGCCCGTTTATGGCACCGCTATACAAGGACTTGCATTCGGCAAAAGGCACGCTGCACAGCATAGCTCCTGCTGCCTGGACAAACTTCTTTGACTGCCTAGATGAGTCAGCAAAGCTCAGCCGCACACCGCCTGGCAGCTGGCTGCCGCGAAATGCACAACTCTTGGAGGTAGGAAGCATCAAGGTGCATAGCAAGAAAGATGTGCCGCGAGTACCGCCTTCGCATAAGCACCAGTGGGTGCGCTTGGCAGACCCAACACGACAAGAAATACATTTCCGCAAAGAGAGCAAATTCGTACTGCAATGGCTTAGCCTTTGTTTTGCGCATGAGCAGCCTAGATCTCTGGGCACAGCACCTTTGCTGCATCTGCCGCAGACACCTTCGCGGACAGGGACCGCATGAGGATAGGCGGTTGGCCAAGCACAGCAACGTTTTTTGTTTGGTTTAGCGAAATCTTTCACGCAACGCAAGTGCGCACTGAATGGCCCCAGCTAGTAGGTAGTCTTGAGCCATACATTGGCTGCTTTGAGACACTCGCACAGTCGGCACTGGCGCACTGCTCCTGGCAGCTGCTGCGCTCTCGCCACGCACGGTTCGTTCTGCCTTCGGCCAGTGACAACACCAGCGCAGAGTCTGGCCTGAACAAGCTCTTTAGCACAGCCGAGCCGCTCGGCAGCTTTCTTCGCTTAGCCGCAACCTGGGCACAGTTGCACCGCGTGCAGTTTCAAGTGGAACACCTCGCAGGGGAAAAGAACACTTGGGCTGATGCGCTGTCCCGCGGACGCATCGCCTTTGTCCAGCACCGCACTGCGGACAGACTACGCATCACTCTGGCCCAGCTAACTTCGGCATCGCACAGTGTCACAGCACACGGAGACACAGCACAGTGGCCAAAGTGCTTTGTTCAAGCTGCGCACGCCAAGCTACGCACTCCATGCTACGATAAATGCTCCGTTGTGAACGGTAGCGCCCAAATGCATTGACACGTCTTGCCGCGCTGGCCAGGTACGGTTTGGACTTCGTCCTCGTGCAGACACGAAGGCTCCTTTTAGCTCACGCCCTAGCTTGGTTCCGCTCTGCTTTGTACTGTCTTGTCAGGTACTGCAGTTGGGTCTGCCTACACTGCCACTTCACCCTCGCGCGGTGGGGGCATTCTGAGCAAGCTACGGCAAGAGGTTGCAGTGTCCGCTAAAGTGGGGGCTATACATCGTGCCTCGCACAGCAGTGACTTGAAGCTAGCCTCGCTTGGCACGGACAATGCAACCTCAGCCGGTAAAAACAGTGAGTGCGCTGTCTCTCTCTCTCTCTCTGTTTCTCTCTCTCTCTGTGTTTCTGTGTTTCTCTCTGTTTCTCTCTGTTTCTCTCTGTTTCTCTCTGTTTCTCTGTTTCTCTCTCTCTCTCTCTCTCTCTTTCTCTCTCTCTCTCTCTCTGTCTCTCTCGTGCGCTTACGTGGAACCCATTCTGTGATTCACTGATTCACGCACCCATTCACTGATGCATGAGTGAGTCACCGCCCCAGCCAATCATTCACTCACCCGCCATGGCTTCCTCACTCCTTCACGACCGCACTCGCAGACCCACTCGGTCGCTGACTCGCTCGCTCACTCACTGGCTTGCTCGCTCAGTTGGACGGACTCATTCCGCTGGCACCGCATGGACCTCGTCATCTACGGAGCGCTGCCTCTCGATCGGGCACTCTGCCGTGCCAGAGTACTTGTTCTCGGCTGTGACACACTTCTGCGGGTTGCGAATAACTGCGCAGGACGCCGCCTCCTTACTAGTTGCCGAGCGTCGCACACGAGCCGGCTACCCAAAGCTGGTCGCCGGTGGTTGGCAACAGCTCGTGGTGTTAGCGAGCAAAGTTGGACGGCGGTGCGAAGCGTCCGTGTCCGCCGGCGAGCTTCGTCAGCTGTCTTCGTGCGTGGGCGGCTGCGGTT